TCCCTAATTGAGACTGACATGTGTCATCATGAATGGACCATAGTGCAAATGAGACTCACATCATTGATTCCCTCCATCCTATCATCTATCCATGCATCTCCGCATCCATGCATCTACCACCCACCCACTGATGGTTACACTAAAGTTTATCAAGTTTTCTTTAAGTTGCATGAGCTCATTGATTTTCTCAGGAACCCATATAAAAACTCCTTTCTTTTTTTTGGGGGGGGTGCTGATTGACTGTTTATAGTGAATGAAGATTAATAGTTTGGCCAAGATGGAATGCTTCTGCTTATAAAAATAATAGAAAATAATCTTTTAGATTAAAGTAAAAGATGAATTCCACTTTTCCATTTATCTACCTTTGACTAAGTGGGAAAGGCCAAATGGAAATGAATAGCCTAGTATAAATTAAGTAATTGCTCATCATAACTTTCCAAGCATTTCAGCCCATAAATTAAAGCCAATTCTGACGAGCGGTTCTACCACTAGATCTCCAATGGCAGCCCGAGGGGGTCATTTTTAGTCTGACCTAAAGCTGAAGAGGGCGGTCCTGCTTCTGGAGGCTCTCTCCTTTCTTGTTACCAAAAGAATGATGTGAAATCCCAGGTCCCTCTTGCTGAAGTTCACCTGCCGTTGTCTCCCTGAACTGACTTTTCGAGGAGCATCATTTGCACGCCTTGTTTGAGGCCATGGTTTCTCCCACGTGATCAGGACTTGGCTTTCTCTCCCTCTCTTCCTACCTTCTCCATTCTGACTTGTTGATGTGAGCCCCACGCAGCACGCTGGCTCCCTTTTACCTAGGACACTACCCTCGCACAAGCTTTGAATAAGACCCAGTCTGCAAACCTCGCTCGCTGGGCCCTAGCTGCCCCGCAGAGGCTGGCACGGTGGCCTCCCAGGACTCCAGCTGAATCAAGCTCCTGTCTCTGGGCTCCCCAAGCACTTTCAATTCATTCTGCCTGGCTTTTATCCTTAGTAATAAAACAGGCTGTTAGTTTTCTGACTGGCCTCCAGACTCTCATTAGCTTTCCCTCTGAATAGCAGAGCATAGAAGGAGTAACTGAACCGAGCCAAAGGGAGCCCTCTTTCTCTCTCTGTTAGGGGCAGCAGAGTTGTGGGCAAGGCCTGGGGTTTCCCAGGCCCCCAGTGCACAGGAGGAGTCTAGCTGAAGCAGAGGAGCCAGGAGCCAGGTCTGCTGCTAGCCCCAAGCCACCCGACCTGAGGGAGCCCACCGCGCTCCCCAGCCCTGGAAGAGCCAACTGGCCCTGTTCCAAAGAGTGGAGCACTGGGTCTGAGAGCTTTGGATTTCCCTAGTCAGACTGCAGTGCTCCTCTGTACTGCGGCTTTCCAGCTCATCCCATAATCAAGACATCCACATGCCCTCTTAGTCTGCCCTGGGAGCTTGCTACAGCCCGACTGTTCCAGAGAGCAGTGCCAGGAGGCGATGCAGGCAGATGAGCCTTAGGCCATGCTTGGTAATTCTTGCGCCAGGCTCCTACTCTGCGGGCGGAGTTCTTCATGCAGTGGCAGAGGGGGCTGGGCTGCGGGTGCCCGTCTGCTTCTCAGGGTAGGCACTGTGATTAGTTTTACATGTATCATTTCACTTAATGCTCTCCACAGCCTCTGGGAGGCCTGTGCTTTGACTATCCCCATTTGGCAGATGGTGAAACTGAGCCCCAGAGGGGTCAGCTTGTCCTGATTTGTGCCGTTAGCGTGTGTGGAGCCAGGGTGATCTGTGTGCCGTCTGATAGGAGAGGCCCTGTGACAGCGAGTGGCTTCTTTAGTAATGAGAACCGTCAGTAACAACTGGGTATACGTAACCCTCCACAGCATATCGCTTCCAAAGCGTCTCACAACTGTTCCCACGGCTGCTATTCAGAGGCCTCCTTCCCTTTTGGCTAGTTAGGCTTGATGTGATGTAACTTAGTTGCCTACATTTGGGGTTCCTGTTTAATAGGACAGGCTTGTCTTTTTTGCTGTGATGGAAACCCAGGGCCTTAGCGCACATCCAGGGTGCATGCCCAGAAAGACTTTATAGCAGAGAATAACTCTATTCTCCTGAGTGCCCGTCCAGGGTCAGGAAGGCTGCCCAGCAGACTGGCCAGTTGCTCTGAGAGTCTGCAGGGCACAGCATCACTGCCGGGGGAGGATCTTCATCGTGTGACGATAGCTAACCACATAGGAACTCAACACTCCTTAAAAACAAAACCAAACACACAGAAAACCCAGATCTTAGGCATGACCCCCGAGACCTGTCAACCATTTCCCAAACTGGAACGGACAGGCTTTGTTTTTGCTTGAGAAGCATGATACAAGCCGGAGAGATCCTAAGCGACAACCACTAAGAACTCTTCCTGCAGAGCTGGGCATGCTGAAAATGTGTGTTTGCATATTCCCACACAACCTACGGGAAATACAAACGCACGGTGAGTCCAACTAATTAGATAATGCCACTTAACTACAGTGAGACTTTTTTCTCAGTGTATACCTGTGGATTTTCTGTGCACACACATGTGGGTACAGGAATGTACCTGTCTTCAAACGGGCAGTTTGGATCTCCTCATAGTCAGAGGAAACTGATTTTTAAAATGGAGTTAAAGGAAATAAAAGCACATTTTATCTATTTTCTTTTTAGTTAAAAAAGAGCTTCTTCACCCTGGCCAGTGGCTCAGTGGTTGAGTGTCATCCCTTGCACTGATAATTTGATGGGTCAATCCTGGTTAGGGCACATGCCCGGGGTTGCAGGCTCTATCCCTAGTGGGGGGAGAGGGGCATGCAGGAGGCAACCTGATTGATGATTCTTTTTTTAATTTTTTATTATTTTTTTCCATTTTTCCCCCCGCCCTAGACAGTCCCCTAGCCTCCCCTATCCCCCAGTGTCTTATGTCCATTGGTTATGCTTATATGCATGATGATTCTTGTTTCTCTCTCAACCTCTCCCTTCCTCTTTCTCTCAAAATAGAAAAAACACACCTACTTTTTTGAAAAAAAAAAAAAGAGCAACTTCAATAGGACCTGCTGCTAAATAAAATAATTTAATGATTGTCTCTAACATGACAATTATTCATTAGTTTGTAACCTCATAATCTATACTGTAAGTTTGCTGTTTTTTTTAAATGCTAGATTACGCTTTTCTCTGTGTTTAGTATGCACAGACATGCGAAGACTCCGCAGACGCACTCTGGCACTAGTGACCAGAATAGCTGCTGTGGACAAAGTTTACATTCTACATAAGTGGCGTGGGAACCGAAATGCCCCAAATCCTCTATCCTAAAGGATGATAGCAAAGAACAGTTGTGTGATAATTGCATTGTTGTGCTTTGCTCTAATGTAAACGGTCTCCTATGATAAATGACCTAAGACCTCACCTGGGCATCTTGCTCCACTTCCTGTCCTTGCCGATGCCTAACACCCATCCCTTATGCCTCCAAGTGCTGATCTTCAGAAAACAGCCAACATTAATGTTCCCCTCCAAAATCGATAGGCCATATGCCAGATTCAATGATTAGACTGTTGTTCAAAATATCTTGCGACTCTTGTTTGGAACTGCCTTCCAAATTTGCAGGGGCAAATCTTGGATAGGTTTCAATTCAATTTGAATTTGATTTCATCAATGCAGTACAGTTTTGTAGGGAAGGCTGAGCTGCGGGAAACCTGCAGGAGGGGGTTGGCGCAAGGGTGGGTCCTTTAGTGAGAGCCCGGGCAGAGGAGCATCCCCACCAGCAGGTAGGGCTGCCTCAGGGGAAGGTTGATCTGACCTTGCAGGGTAGGAAGCATTTGTGCCAGGTGGAGATGCAGAAATGGCTTTTTTGTTTGTTTGTTTTTACAGTTTTAAAATTGATTTTTTAGAGAGAGAGGAAGGTAGAGGGGGAAAGAGAGAGAAACATCTGTGGGAGAGCAAAACATCTATTGGCTGCCTCCTGCACGACAACCAGCAGGGATCAAGCTGCAACCTGAGCATATATGTTCCAACTGGGAATGGAATGGCAACCCCTCAGTGCACAGGATAATGCCCAACCAATGTAGCCACACCGGCCAGGGCAGGAATGGCATTTTTGATAGGACACCCCAGTCCATCAAACAAAGGCCAATGCTCTGACCTGCTCTCCATACTGTGAACTGGTCTTGTTCTCTGAACACCCCATGCTATTTCGCAACTCCAGGTCTTGGCACAGGCTATTTCCTTCCATGAAACTGCCCTCCCACTCCTTGCCTGCTAAGCAGACTTGCAATTTGTCTTTTAAAAGTGAGCTCAGGCCCTAACTGGTTTGGCTTAGTGGATAGAGTGTCGGCCTGGGGACTCAAGGGTCCCAGGTTCGATTCTGGTCAAGGGCTTGTACCTTGATTGAGGGCACATACCCAATGGGGATTGTGCAGGAGGCAGCTGATCGATGTTTCTCTCTCATCGATGTTTCTAACTCTCTATCCCTCTGCCTTCCTCTCTGTAAGAAATCAATAAAAAATATATTTTTAAAAAAAGTGAGCTCAGATGCATCTCTCTAGGCCAGTGATGGCGAACCTATAACACGCATGTCAGAGGTGACACACGAACTCATTATTTTGGTTGATTTTTCTTTGTTAAATGGCATTTAAATATATAAAATAAGTATCAAAAATATAAGTCTTTGTTTTACTATGGTTGCAAATATCAAAAAATCATTTCTATATGTGACATGGCACCAGAGTTAAGTTAGGGTTTTTCAAAATGCTGACACGCCGAGCTCAAAAGGTTTGCCATCACTGCTCTAGGAAGAAGCCTCCTTGGCTCCCGATGTCTAATGATCAGGATAAAACTAGCATTCCCTGAGATAACCGAGTCCTCTGCACCCATGACCTTGGTTGACCTCCACAGGCCTCGTGTGACACAGTATTATCAGCCCATAGTACAGATTTGAAAACATGCTCCACATCTAGTGAGGGGCAGAGCCCAGGGACAAACCCCGTTTTCCTAAACCACACTTCCCAAACTTACCTTGCCCATGTCATACTCCGCTATCATGGATGAGTTTCAAAGGCAGCCACCACTGTTCTGTGAACTCTGGAGCCTGGTACCTGTAGTTGGATGGAGGCTCCGCTCGCATACAGCTGGACTGAGCTCAGAAAGTGGCATTGTTAACTGGGAGCTGGCCAGGTGTGCCCGAGGCAGGTGGGCCTTGTCTGAGGCCATTGCTTTAGCAAGTTCTGGCTGGACTGGCTTCTTAGGGATGACTGCAGTGTGGTACTGGCGGGGTCACCACAGCTGGACGGTGGGAGACCAACTTCTGGGCTCTGGGTGTTTTGATTTTGAGACCCTAGCCCTGGGCCCGATTGAGAAACATAAATATGAGGCACTTTGAAGTGTTTTATTTAATTATGCATTGACTTTCCAAAGACCCTGCAGGGCTCATGGGGTTCCCCTCAAGGGCTGATGAGAAGCCCCCCAAGCGCAGGGACCAACCTGGGCCCTTGTCCTGCCCCCTCCCGCCACCACCACCTTGTGACCTGCTGTCCCTTCTTTCCAGTGCCAGGACTACCAGGGCGGGGCGCTGGCGGGCGACCTCTGCGAGGACCTGTGCGTGGCGGGGAGGCTGCGGTACCAGCGCTGCCTGTACTACGAGAGGGGCAAGAAGGTGCTGCAGGCGGACTGGCGCGGCCGCCCGGTCATCCTCAAGTCCAAGGAGGAGGCCTTCTCCAGCTTCCGGCCGCCTGGCCTGATGGAGGACCAGGCCGAGGACGGAGGCCAGGGTTTCCCGGAGGCAGAGCTGCTCCTGCTGGTGGCGGGGGAGGTCAAGAGCGCCCTGGGCCTGGAGCTGGCGGCCGGCAGCCTGGGGCCGCTGTGGCCGGGGGGCCGGGGTGCGCGCTGGCGGGGCCAGCTGGCCAGCCTGTGGTCGCTGGCGCAGCAGGAGGAGTTCGTGCTGCTCAGCATGCTGCACGGCCTCAGCCCGCACGCCCCGCCGCTGCTGGGCTCCTGCGGCCACTTCTACGCGGTGGAGTACCTGGCAGCGGGCAGCCCCCACCACAGGGCTCTCTTCCCCCTGGAGGGGGCCTCGCGGGGCCAGGCCCAGGCCGTCAGCGACATGGCCCTCAGCTTCCTGGACCTGGTGAGACATTTCGACAACGACTTCTCCCACCGCCTCCACCTCTGCGATGTCAAGCCCGAGAACTTTGCCATCAGGAGGGACTTCACGGTGAGTGCTCCTTGGAGAGTGGACACATCGTGTGGGGGACGGATGGTTTTAAATGAGAGCATTTCTGAAATCCATGTAGCATCATGCTGCCTTGTAGCCTGGACATCCCACGCAGCCCAAGCACAGTTCATGAGAATTCAAAGGACACATGCACCTCACCCCACTCCAGGGGGTGGGTAGAATGAAAGGCTGGAAGGCAGGAGCCCAGGCCTCAGAGACAAGAGGTATCCTCCCTGGTGCTGCTCTGGAAAGCAAGCTCTTGCTGAGAGCAGAAAGCAGTCTTCAGGGATGAGGGGCCACACAGGATGATGAAGAGGATGGCTGTGGGGGCTTTTGGACAACAATCCAGTTGGGGGATGCTATCTTCAAACTGTCCAGGCCCCATGACAGTGTGCAACATTTTTCTAGCACTTTCTCCCTGGAGGTTCTAGCTAGCTTCCCTTCCATGGGTAAGATTTCTAGAGGGACTGGAGTGGGGCGCCTCCTGCAGGGACAGCCCTGCCCAGGTGGATATGGTGGCCTCTGCACTGTTCTGCAGGGCAGGTGCATTTTTGCTCCCTCTCCGGTGTCAGAGGAATTGAATGAGGAGGAGCTGCAGTGGCAGGAGGGACTGCAGTGTCATTGGAAGATAATCCTCTCTCTCCTCCCCCACTCCTTAGGTAAACCCAGGTGTCACAATAATGCTATCTGATCTGGATGCTCTATCCCAGGGGCCATTGCCTGGGGTCACCCCTGTTGCAATGAGTCATCTCTTACACTGCATGTGCCAGCAGGGGAAGGCCCAGGCCAGCTTCACTCCGGCCACCTCAGTGGGCTGGGCATTGTGGAGGCTGGCTCACGGTGGACTACGCTCTGTCAACATAAGAAATGATCAAACCTATAAGAGAATTTTTATGAGTTTATTGGGCCAATCTGATGACAAAACCTCAATAGTTAGATATTATATTCCAGAGAATGACAGCTTTGCATCCTTTGAAATACATTACAATAAAAAGAGAAGACATAAGTGGGTTACATGAAATCCATTGGTGATAGATTAGGGAGGTGGGAGAAAGCAACATGGAGAAACCTCTGGGATTGGATAAAAAGTAAAATGATAGACACATACTTCTTTCACTTAGGTGGGTGCAGGATAATTAACAGACAATGAACCCAATGACAATGAGGGGATTTGTGGTCTCTGCAGAGCGGTGCCTGAGCTTTGAGGGGTCCAGAAAAAGGAAATTATATGCATATATGCATAACCATGGACACAGACAATAGGGTAGTGAAGGCCTGGGGAAGGAGTGGGAAGGAGGGGGTGATGGGGGGGGGGAGAGGAACATCTGTAATACTTCCAACTATAAATATACATTTTTTTAAAAAGGAAAATTACTTTGACATTCCAAAGATATGTTATCTTAGATGCAAAAAGATAATAGGCTCAATTAAGGTAAAGATTGACTGATAGACTTTTGTTAGGAAAAATACTGCTTTTGGACATGACTACCTGCCATGAATTGCTTTTAGTTAAAAAAAATTTTCATTTCAGAGCATCCTATGTGGTTACATTAGGTGTCTGAGTTTGTAAGGCCTCTCCTGAGCTTGTCAGGTTTAGTATATGGTTCCTCTCATCCGCCCCAGTCAAAACATAAGGGACAAATAGAAGGTACTATTA